TGCCAAAGCTATCTCATGTCCCCTTTCTGCCCTCCTGATTTCCCTCTTTAGTATACTCCTACTGCCTTTACACTCTTCTAAGGATTCACTCGATCTCTGCTGTCTATACCTGACGTATGCTTCCTTCTTATTCTTGAACAAAACTTTAACTTCTCTAGTTATTCAGCATTCCCTATACCTACCAGCCTTGCCCTACACCCTAATAGAAACATACAGTCTATGGACTCTCAATATCTCATTTTTGAAGGCTTCCCATTTTTTATCCGTCCCTTTACCTGTGAACATCCGCCCCCATTCAAGTTTTGAAAACTCTTGCCTAATCCGATCAAAATTGGCCTTCGTCCAGTTTAGAACTTTAACTTTTTGATCGGGTCGATCATTTTCCATCCCCGTTTCAAAAGTAATAGAATTCTAATCGTTGATCCCAAAGTGCTTCCCCACTGACTCCACAGTCACCTGCCCTACCTTATTTCCCAAGAGTACGTCAAGTTTAGTACTTTCTCTAGAAGGTACATCCACATACTGAGTCAGAAAATTTTCTTGTATGCACTTAAATTCCTCTGCATCCAAGCCTTTAACACTATGGCAGTCCCGGTCTACATTTGGAAAGTTGAAATCCCCTACCATAATCACCATATTATTCTTACAGATAAGAGAACAAAAGAGAACAAAAGACAGGAACAGGCCCTCCGATCCAGTGCTGATCATGCCCTAATTAAGCTAAAAAAAACCTTCTGCCCTTATTTGGTCCGTATCCCTCTATTCCCCCTTATTTATGTAACCATCCAGATACCTCTTAAATGTTGCCTGCTGTATCCTTTCACAATCGTCGGCATTACTAGCAACTCCACCAATCTCCTTACAAATCTGAGATAACAAGGTGTAGAGCTGGATGAACACAGCAGGCCAAGCAGCATCAGAGGAGCAGGAAAGCTGACGTTTCGGGTCTGGGCCCTTCTTCAGAAAAAAATCCAAAGAAAAAAACTCTTCATGCAGCAAATGGTTAAGATTTGGAATGCATCACCACAGGGTGTGGAATTCTGATAACACCAGCACAAGAAATCTCAAAGGAAACACAGCACTAACACCAATCCCAAGGAGGTACGGCACTAAAGCTAGAGCTCAGTGAAGGGGGAGCAGTGAACTAAGACCTGAGCTCAGAGAATGTTGTGCAAACATAATCTGAGACCTAAAAAAGCAGGTGATAACATACAAATAACCATAAAAAGCATTCTTCTATTTTACCATCCATGGGCTCATCTAAGCACTTCTCAGAAGTTGTTTGATGAGGGTTATAAGTTACATCAATCATCTGCCATAAAGAAAACTGATTTTCTGCCAGGGTCTTGTGCTTGAAC